CACAGACAACCCTAAAACCTCGTTTCAAGCAAGGGTTTTCTTCTCCTTCACCAGCAAACCTTTCACCAGAGCTGGCAGCAAAACGATGCGTTAACGCGGCTGGCAAAGGACAGCGCCGGTGAGGTAAGCGGACAAATGAGAGCTCTGCTCGGGCCGTGGGAGCCAGCCAACAAGGGCACTGGGTGAGCCTGTGGGACGGGGCGGCACAGCCCACTCCCAGCCCAGGGAGTCCGGGGGCCGGGCATGGCTCCCCTGCCAAGGCCAGCACGTGGGAGAGCTCCTCCAGGCCTCTGCTTCTCCGCCCTCCCTGCCCTCCCTGTCCTCGGGAGGGTTTACCCCGCGGCGGGGAGCAGGACGGGCGGCTTTGATCCGTCCCAGTTGACCAAGAGGTGAGTCAATTTGCCAAGTAAACATCTGGCCTAAAATCAACTGCCAATCAGGGTTTCATAACATCCAAGGGCATCCCATTTATTCAAGAGCTCTTGTGAAATTCTCAAAATAAAATGCGTTTAAATGGCCTCTCCTTTTTAAATGACACCTGGTATGTCTTGGGAGGCAGCCTGTCATAATATTGAGCAAATGACAACTGATTATCAGGATGAAAACCACTGGCTTAAACACAAAGAAACTGGCTTGATGTTGAAAATGGAGAAGCAAACTGATGACCATTTTGAGCTGAGGAAGCCCAAATAATTTGGGAAATTACTAATATTTAGCAAAAAAAAATGATTCAGCAATTGTCTACAATGCTGATGGGGGACTGAACTTTGATCTACAGCCATCCTCCAGGTGGGAGAGAATAAAACTAAGCCCCGAAAGTTGTTGTTAAAGATTGGATTACCAAATTAGAGGAAGGAAAGAAACGCAGCTGCTGGGCAGATTTGAATTTCAGATAAGTATTCCAGTATCATGCAATTTTCTTCAAAAACAAGAATTCTCAAAGAAACTGAGAGAACATGAGAAGCCAAGAAAGGCGGTGAGAAGGTGAAGGAGGGAACCTAGGAGGCTGTGCCCAGGCGAGGCCAGAGGACCCCACTGGCCCCCCAGGCCTGGGACTCGCCCCCCTGCTGGGGAGGCGGCATGCTTCATGCCCGGGTGCATTCTGCCTGTAGCATGAGGCTCTCGCTGCCTCCGCTGCCGGCACTGGAACAAGGCTGAGCTCCAGAGTTTCAGGAGGGAACTGCCTGTCATCCAGGAAGTGGCCTGCTGCTTCTCCAGGAGTGTTTACGGTGACAGGATGATCTCTGCACATTCTTGGCCGTGTCCCCATCTGCAGCCAAGGGCACGCCTTCAAGGTGGCTGGGGCAAGGCTGCAGCCAGAGCCAGGCCTGGTCCGCTCCAGAGGCCGCAACACAGCTGGGTCCCGAGCACCAGCCCCCCCCCGAAGCTGTGGCTTGCCCAAAGTGACCCTGGAGTTAGCAGCACAGGCCCGACTGGAGCCCTGGTCTCCCAGCCACAGCCTCCAGTCTGCAGCCCTTCCTCCCGCAGTGGTGCAGCTGAGGGAGCCCAACCAGGAGTGGGGCCGGGCACCGCAGCAGACACTTCAGCAGACACTGCAGTGAAGGCTGAGAACCCAGAGAAATGAGCTCTTTGACCCGTCGGGGCAGCTTCTTAAGAGCACGGAAGGGGGAGGGAAACAAAAGCAAGTGTATACGCAGAGGGAAACATAATCTGTGATTATAAATATTTTATGAGCAAAGAAAGCAGTACCGGCCGAGAGACCGGGGTGTGGAGGTTGGACGGCAAATTAGATCCCGGTCTGCAAAGTGATAGGGCAGCTGGAAGAGCAGCAGCACCGAAGCTATTCTGGGCGGCGTGCGGCACGGGCCTGCGTCAGAGCGTGGGCGCCGGCCAGCGGCTTTGTGGAAACCGCAGCCTTCCAGCGGGCAGCGAGAGCACCTTGGGAGCCCACGGAAGACAGGAGAGGGGGCAGCGAGGACAGTCACTGGAGGGACCTGGGTAAACCTTAACACGTGAAGGGGCTGAGGGATGCAGCCGAGCGGCCGGCAGCCTGGGAGCGGTTGGAAGGATGAGCACACTTTCTGCTGACTGAGGAGAGAGAAAGGAGTGAGGCCGACCCCGGAGAGCGAGTGACCTGCAAAGCGTGACAGCAGCTCAGGTCAAGCTGCCCGGTCGGTCGGTCGGAGCAAAGGCCCAGCCCCTGGGCCGACGGTGCCAGGATGAGAACACCAATTCCACCTCTGCTTTACCTGCAGGTGGATCCCCTCCTCCTGCAGCCTTTGGGAAGCAGCCCAGAAACAGAGTGAGGAGCTTGCTGAGGGCCAGCTGCTGCTGCTGAAGACACTCACCACGGGCAAAGCAGGCCTGGCCTGGGTGAGACTCCTCCTCCTTGGCCAGGCGCCACTGCAGCGACCACGCCACAGAGTCTGCTGGCCCTTCCAGAGGCCAGAGGGAGAGGGATTTCAGCTCCTAAAACACCCAGAGACGCCGGAATTGAGCTCCGTCGGAGAAGCCTGGGGAGCAGTGCACCGCTCAGCTGGGAAGATAGAGGCTAAAAGCCAGTGTTCACTTCCTGGAAGTCAAGGCTTAGCAGGCAAGAGGCTCCCAGTGTGCCCACTGGACACGGGAGAACTGGACCATCCTCTGGGATATCAGCCGGTGAGAATCGACTGGAGACTCCTCGGCAGCAAACCCCCCGAGTTGGAAGTCCCGGGATTGGGATCAGAGACCCGCCTGCGCACCTAAGAGATCATGTGACCTCTGGAACTCAGTGTCTCCATCTTAAAAGCAGGACCAGCGTCTGCCAAACCGAAGGTCTGAAGAACACCAAGAGTATGCATATACACATAGATGCTTTCAAAATAGATGCTAAGTGCTATCCCAATTTAAGAGTTTATTTATATCCAGCTACCTACCTGACATCTGCTGGCTGTCTCAAAGGCACCCCACTCAGATGCCCCCGCTGCTCCTCCGCCCCCACGCTCAGGCCTCTCCCAGGGCACCCCGTGCAGGGCTGGTCAGGATCACCCGTACAGGCATGGATGGAAGCCAGAAACCTAGGCCCACTCTCTGCCCTCCCCGGCCCCCCACCCGTATTAATGCATTACCAAGCCCAGTCAGTTCCACCGCCTAAAGCACATGTGTCAAACACAAGGCCCCCGGGCCAAATCCGTCCCGCCAGGCCTTGCAATGTGGCCCGCACCGCGCTGTCATCACTGCACTCCGCTGCGTTTCCATCACAATGACAGTTTATGACTGTTCAGTAAACCATTCGGCCCGCGATTTAGGCTGGATTTTAGATTTTGGCCCCTTCTCTGATTGAGTTCGACACCCCTAGCCTAAAGGCTTCTACTCCCTTCCATCGCCCGTCCCAGTCCTACATGCCGTCCTCTCGCAGTCTCCAGCAAGGCCTATGCCACTCGTGCTGGCCTCCCCCAGCCCTCGCCATGGAGCAAACAGAACCATGCCTTCCCTCCCACCACCCTGCCCTGCTTGCTAAAAACTCCACCGCAGGGCCCCAGGCCCTCCCCCAGGGAAACCTCCTTCCCACGGCTCCTCTGCAGCCTCGCCCTACCCCACGCTCACCTGCGCTCCCTGCTCCTGGCTGTTCCTTCGGTCCCTGGATGTTACCCCATTCCCTCCCACCACAGGGTTTTGCATGCTCTTCCTCTGCCTGAAATATCACACACACACACACACACACACACACACACACAAACACACACCCGCATCTAGCTAATGCCTCTCCATTTGTTTACTAAGGTAGAAAGTACATAGAGTGCATTCAAGTACGAAGATTCCTAATTAGTTCAGATGTACACATTCATGCGATTTCTGCCCAGACCCCAAACAACCCAGCACCCCATAAGGTGCTCTCTTGCCCTATTCATTCTATACTCCTCCCTACTCCCAGGTAACTGCTGCTGTGACTCCTATCGCCACGCCTGCTCGTTCTTTCCCAGGAAGCGGCCTCCAATCCCATGGGGAAAGCCAAAGCCCTCCTTCGTGGGCACTGACTCACAGCGAGGGGTTTGCATTTAAGCAATGGTGTGATCGGCATCCAGCCCCCGAGGACGCAGTAAGCTCCTCGGGAACAGGGACCACATCTGCGTCGCCTCACCCGTTTCCCTGTGCTTGCACATGCTCAGTAATGATGACAGAAAATAGCTCATACCTGTCGAGTGCCTATTCACTGCCAGGCACTCACAGGTACTAACTCATGAAACTCTCATATCAGCAGCCCTATTGCGTAGGTAGCATTGTTATATCCCCATTTTACTGGTAAGGAAACGGAGGGACAGAGGCGTTCGAGAACTTGCTCAAAGTCACCACAAAAGCCAGACAGTCTGGCTACAGAACAGAGTTCTTACTCATCATGCGACTCTGTCTCTCAGAGGCCCCTGGATTATTTAATGAGTTAGCGCCCAAGATATTGTGAATGAATGAATTCATAGATGAGTTCATGAGGCTCCATCAAAGGAACCGAGAGAGGCCCCACACTGCCCCAAGGAGACCCATAAACAAATGGAAGACAGGCTGCCATTGAATCACCTGCACAGGCCCAAGATCGGTCACCCACCACACACAGGCTAGTCCCCCTTCTCCCCAGCACCCAGGGAGGGAGCCTCCTCTGTGGGTGTCGAGGAGGCTCTGGTCCCGGCAGGGCGCTCCCCAGCAGAGGAAGGGTGTCTGCCTGGGTCCTGTCAGAGCCTAAAGGCAACCTCAGGCTGCATCTGACACGTCACTCCGCTCTTGTTCATGACAACCCGGTCCTCTCCGCACACTTCCCAGACCGCCCTCTGACACAGGGAGATGACACTGAACGGGGGAGGGTCTGCCTGGTTAGAAGGGATGGGTTCCACTGCACGTTTACTAATGGGCATTGGCTGCCCCCTCACCTCCCAGAGCCTGATGCCCCCGAGGGAGCCCCGAGGAAGCCTGCTCCATGCAGACACTGCCGTCTGTGGCCTGACACGGGCTGGCCACCTCGTAACTGCCATTTACCTCCCAACACCCTTCCAGAAAGCTCAAGGAAGGGACACATGTGAACATGTTTATTTCTCACAGGACACTGTTCCCCAGCCATGGGACCCCACGCTCCCCTCCAGCCAGGGCGCGGCCTCCAGAACTGCTCCCCCGTGAGCCACTCAGCGGTGGCGGCGGCCGGCTCCGCTCACACAAAGTTCTGCGCGATGGCCAGCACCTTGGAGAACTCGCCTTCCCGGCGGCGCAGGCTGGTGGGGATGGGCGTCTTAATGCGGGTGCCCACGGGGTTCCCATTGTCCTCGATGAGGACCACGTTGTTGGAGTCGAACCGGGGCGTCATCCGGGGACCGGGCATGCAGTGCCCCACGATGAGCGCCTTTTTCTTCTGCCCCTTGATGGCCAGCAGTATGCGGTCGCCCACCTTGCCCACCCCGTTCTTGTTGTAGACGTGGATGCAGCGGGGAGGGCGGTGGTACGGCGTGTTCCCCAGGGCGCTGTTGTCCACCACGCGCACCCGCGTCATCTTCTGAATCGCTCCAAGGGTCCCGGTGGTGCTGGGGGGAAAGGAAAAGAAAGTCTGAGACCTGCGCCTCTCCTGGCCCAGCGCAGAGGCCAGGATGGGACAGAGCTCCCGTTAGCAACAACCCGCGGGACAGAGACCCGCCCAGGCTCTGGCGGAAGGCAGGTGCTTCCGAGGACTTCTCTGTACCCGACACAGACAAAAGCTTCTGCTGCCTGGTCAAGATCTTGACTCTTTGGCTCAGTGGATAGAGGGACTGAAGGGTCCCTGGTTCGATTCCGGTCAAGGGCATGTACTTTGGTGGCGGGCATATCCCCAGTGGGGGTTGTGCAAGAGGCAGCTTGATCTATATTTCTCTCTCATTGATGTTTCTGACTCTCTATCCTTCTCCCTTCCTCTCTGTAAAAAATCAATAAAAATATATTTAAAATAAAAAAATAAAATAAAAAGATCTTGACTCTGTTGGGTTTTAAAGAGAACCCACTTTTCTGTTACAACAAACCTCATGGCCCCCTGAATTGAAAGCCTTTGATTTCCAAAAGGACTCTGAGTATTAAGGGAATACCTCATGGGCCAGGCCTCAACCTCTGACTTACCTGCAAAACCTGCTCCCCCAGACTATGCTGATTCCCAAATGTTCTCATCTATAAGTTGCTGGGAACCATAAGTAAGTAGGTCTGCAAAGGGAGTCTGCTGACACTACATAGCAGAGACAGGAAATATGTCAAGGTAACAGTCTTCTGTCTTAATGCATTTTCCCTCACTTGAAATAACTTTGTGGTTTATTGTTATTTTATTTTTAGACATTTGTTTTTAAACAGGTGCCTCTTAAAGGCAGACGAGCTATTGTTAAGTAATTTGAGGACAGTGGGTTTCCATTTTCCTGATGCTAGCACCTTATGTGCTGGTGCTCCCCAGGGGCCCCAGGTCCTCTCCTCTCCCCCCAATGCCTATTCTGGGCAATGTTATCTATGCCCATCGCTTCCAACCGGTACCCTCCATCTCCAGCCCCACCGGTCTCCTGTGTTCTAGTCCTGTGTTTCCACTCTACACTCATTGCACATCCCACAGCCACTCACAGGAGGCCCCACACTGACCCCTTCGCCTCCCCTGTGATCTTCCCCCTGCGACTGCGTTTCCCATCGAGATCATGGCTTCTCCAGAAACTCCAGCACCCAAGCCATACACCTCTCCCTGCATCACCCTCAGCTGCTGCCAGTCCTACTGATACTGCCTCCTAAGCAGCTCTGTCCTCTCCCTCCACCCCATCAACACCTCCTAGATTCACAGCTCACTCTCTCACACCAAGATTATGACGCTGTGTCCTAACCGGCTCCCGGTGCACCTCACTATGCCAACCAAGGGCTCCTTTTAGAATATCAACTGAGGCCACTCCCCTGCTTACGAGTGTTCAATGGTTTCCCAATGTCTAACTGTCAACAACCTGGCCCCATTGTACCTGCCTGCTAAGGTACCATCTCCTACCACCTACACACGCGCCCTGTGCCCCAGTGTCCAGGAAGCTCTGGAGCTCGCCAAGCACACGGCCCCCGCAGCCTTCCCAGGGCCTGCTCCCTCTTCCCTTCTGGGAGGGCCGCCTCCTCTCTCCTTCCCTTTCTCTCCTCCCCCTCCTCCTCCTCCTCCTCCTCCTCCTCCTCCTCCCCTCCTCCTCCTCCTCCTCCTCCTCCTCCTCCTCCCCTCCTCCTCCTCCTCCTCCTCCTCCTCCTCCTCCTCCCCTCCTCCTCCTCCTCCTCCTCCTCCTCCTCCATTAGCAGCTCTGGTCCGGGCCTCCACAGCACATACAAACCTCTATTATTATACTTGTCACACTTCCTTCCAGTTATTTGTCTCCGAGTTTGCTCCATGGCTAACTGTGAGGACTCTTCCAGGGCAGGAAGCAATTCCTATTCATCTCTCTATTACCAACCCAGACACGGTGCTCGGTGAGCGCTTGTGAAAGGAGGGCACGGACGGGGCCAAGAGGCATGTCTGCCAACAGGAATGTAGCTGTGCTCTCCCCCTGGGTTGGCATCCAAAAGGAGGGGAAGCTGTCACACTTCCGCCATGCTTGAGCTTTTGGTAGTAAGTAGCTTTTTAAAAACGACTCCAGTTTTTAAATAGAAGGTTTCAATGCACTGGGGGGAAATCATAGGGTTAAGAGATGTCCGATTCACTCAAGTTTGGCAAGGACTGAAAAGTTCCATCTCCCACCACATGCCTTTCCTCTCCCGCCTCTCACAGCACCGTCATCTCCGTTCCTCTGCCCCTCACCTGACCCCACCAGGCCCCGGCTCAGTCTGATTCCTTCACCCCCGCCCCCGGAGTTCCCACTCCTGGTCTAGTCACCATAATAACCAGCCCTGATGGGAGGCTGATCAAAGACGCAGCTGTAAGAACTTCCTGGGGAAAGTTACCTGAAACAGCGCCAGCCGAGGCCGCTGCTGATGTGGGTGAGAGGGCCCCTGAGCCCAGTCAGGAAAGCCATGGGATCCCAAGAAGGCAAATCCTGCAGAAAAAGGGGGAGATTTTATTGTTACGTCAGTGGCTTTACGCAAAGCCCGTGTTCTTTGTTGTTGTTTTTTAATAAAAGACGGCTGAGGACTTGTGTGGAAGATGGCACTTCCAGCACAAGATCGTTCATCACCAAACATAAACCTCAGTGGTGAAAAGGTACGCCGATGATTCACTGGAACTCCAGCTACAATTCTGCTGATTCATGTTCTCGCTGGTGTCAGAGCGCCGCCATGACCCACAGCAGTTCTCGCCACAAGGAACACAATGGCACAGACAGTGCCTTCATCACCCCATCACTCCCACAGGGCCTGAGGGAAGCGTCGATCCTGGCTGCACAGCCAGCCAGCGATCATGTTCCATGCCCTCTGCAAAGGAAACCTGCATGCACGGCCTCGTTGACATGCGTGGCCTCCTGAGACCAGAATTTCTGCTCCCGGAAAGGAAGCAGATTACCTGAGCCACTGCCCAGGCTGTCTGTCACATCACCTCTCCCCCCGCACGTCAACGCCAGGACATCTGGACAGCTCAAGGCTAGCAAAGTGGAGCCAAACGAAGCCTTTGACAAGTCACTGCCCAAAGTCTCTATTTGGGTAAGTCTCCCAAACAGCATCCTAACTCAGAACAACCACCTGCCCCACCCTGCAGCTAATGTGGAGAGCACACCCCGACCCAACACTAATGCTCCAGCGTGCACAACCCTGGAAACATGGCAGCCCCGTTTCCTGCAACACCTGGGCATCAGGTAGGGGTGTGTTTATGAAAAACCTAGAGCCAGCTAGTCTTTCCAACTGCAAAACACGCCTGTTCGCCCTCCGCACGCCGGGCTGTAGAGGGCCTCTGCGAAAGCCCTGCTGGAGAGGCTCCCCCACCGAAGTGTTTACATGCAGCTCTGCCCAAGCTCAAAACACCTCAAGTAAGACTTTATTTCTTAAGGGTGTGGGGGCAGGGAACCCACGTTTACCTCCACAGGAATATCTACACACTTTAGAAATGCGTTTTAACTGCAATTTAGCCTCAAATCACAGGCCTACTCCCCAGTGTTTTCTTTATAACAACCCAGTAAGCACTGGCCAAGATGGAAGTATGGTGGAAAAATTAAGTGCAAAAGGAGTCCGATAACTTGCAGAACTACTAACACCTAATGCACAGCATTGAGGAATGCTGGATGAGGCAAGCTTTACCTGGGTGGCGAGGTAACCCTGCAGAAGGAACGGAGCTCCCATGTCCCCATCTGTAACGCGTACTCACAGGAGGTCATGGCGTGAGCCGTTCAGAGCACAGGGCCCAGTGCCTGGCACTCAGAACCTATTAGCTGCCTTCATCATCATCATCATCATCATCGTCGTCATCATCGTCGTCATCATCTAGTCGCATCTCATTTCACAGATTAGGACACTGAGACACGGAGAGATGAAGTGACGTATGTAAAGCCCCACGACTAGCCAGGGCAGAACCAGAACCAGAAGTGGACCAGGTTTCCATCCCAGGTTCTTTTTACCGCACCCTGCAGCCTCACTCTACCATACGAAACTCACCTCACACATGGAAGCTCAGGGTCAGAAGCATCTGTAAGGGCAGCCTGGTCTTTTCCTGCTTCCTTTACGAAAATGTATTGAGCAGTTATTATGCTACAGGCACTGGCCTAAATGCTCTACGTTACCATCCCATGTAAGCCTCACACCACTCTATGAAACGGGAGCTGTAACTGGCCCCATTTCGTACGTGAGGAGGCGAGGCCCAGGGACGTGAGATAACGTGGCCAAGGTCACACAGACAGGAGTGACAGCCTTGTAACCTAAACCCAAATAGTCGGCTTCCTGAGCCCTTGCTCTTAGTCAACAGCGTGAGCATGGTAGCTTTAATTTTAAAATTAATATTTTTCCAACTGTTAAATCATCCTTGTTCCATGTACATTTTACTCATACCCAACTCAATGGTTGCTAAGTCAACTGTAATATAGATAACATCAGGTTAAAATTTTTCATTGTAACCCAATTTAAGTTTTCCAGACAATCTGTGGTGTCGGTGGCAAGAGCTCCACAATGGAGCAATAACTGACGACTGGCTTTTTAACAACCTGCTCCAAACGGCAGTCCTGGTCCAGGCTGCAGGTACCGCCCATCTTGGCCACGCTCCTGAGAGAGCCCTCGAGGTTAGCCCAACACCACCCACACGTCCGCTCCTGAGAAGGAGACACCTGTCCCTTCACACCACTCTGTTTCATCAATGGCACTTAGGTTGGTCCAAGAACTACAGAAGTGCCTCAGGGCTTTCCAGAACTTTCCTGTCTTGAGTATAACAAACCTCGTCCTTCAAGGTGCCTGAACTCTTCAGGGCAGTGTGTGCACAAACACACCCAGGCCTCGCAGGGCCTTGCTCACGAGCCCCCCGGCCTATGCCCATCTCTGCCCAGCTAAGTCTGACCCAACTCCAAGTGCTACTCCTCCATGAAGCCTCGTGCAAACTGCAGCATCAGATGCTACCCCTCCTGACAGAGGACAGTTGGGCAGCCCGTGCCAAAAGCACTCTCACTGCTCCAACTTCCAGGATCCAAACTCAAACAGTGAATAAATTTAGGTGCTTTTTTTTTTTAATTTAGGTACTTTTTAAAAATATGTTTTTATTGATTTCAGAGAGAGGAAGGGTGAAAGAGGGAGGGAGGGAGGGAAGGGAAAGGAGAGAGAGAGAGAACATCAATGACAAGAATCATCAATTAGCTGCCTCCTGCACACCCCACATGGGGATCAAACCCACAACCCCAGCATGTGCCCTGACCGGGAATTGAACCGTGACCTCCTGGTTCATGCATGGGTTGATTCTCAACCACTGAGCAACACCAGCCGGGCAAATTTAGGTACTTTTTAAAAAATAAAGCTGATATTCTTTGTGGGGTTTTTTGTTGTGGTTGTTGTCATTGTTGTTTTTAAAGCTGATAACCCTTAACATTCTAGTTCTTGCTACTCAAACTCAGAAACCACAGAAATCTTGATAACGTGGCATCTGAACTCATTGCAGGAATTCAGGAATCGCAGACTCAGGTCATGGGGGATACTTGTACTGTCCTCAACCACAAGAGCACACATTCCTGTCTCCAGGGAGCTCTTACAGTCGCACACGGAAGGGCCTGATTCAAGGACTTTTCACTAGCTCTTGGTGACCTAAAGATGACCTTTAGGCCCAAAGGGCCTAAGACATCAGATGGACAACAGTAAGCCTTCCTACGAAGTTGAAAGCACAAAAGAACCAAATGTATTCACTTATTGTATAGACAGACAGACAGACAGATAGATGGATGGATGGATGGATGGATGGATATCCTTTATTCCTTTTTTTTTTTTTTTTTTAAGTCTGTAGCCTCCTTTACTCCCACCCCAGCAAGACCTCAGCAGGTCCCCCTGGAGTCGTACAGTCAACACTGGTTGAATAAATAAAGTAGCCAAAGAAAAGACATCCCTATCCCTAGCTGGTTTGGCTCAGTGGATAGAGCATCAGCCTGCGGACTGAAGGGTCCCGGGTTCGATTCCAGCCAAGGGCACATGCCTGGGTTGTGGGCTCAATCCAGGGGGTGTGCAGGAGGCAGCCAATCAATGATTCTCTCTCATCGTTGATGTTTCTATCTCTATCCCTTCGTCTCTGAAATCAATAAATATTTTTTTTTTTAAAGAAAAAAAGAAAGACATCCCTACTCATAGCTCCAGACACACTGTAGAACGGTGGTCAGCAGCCGGGGGTCCGAGGACCACTGATGGTCCGTGAGGTCCGAAAGGCTGGCGACCACTGCTGTGGAGCTCTTCTCTGTCTGTCGGGAACCGGGACATCACACGCAAACATGCTTTAGGGGACCACAGTGCTGGTGGCGGCAGGACTGGCTCATGCTGTCACAGGCCCCTGGAATCATCCCCCAGGCTGGTGCCCACACTGCCCGCTGTAAAAAACACTGCATTCCACCTCTAAATGACTGGTTTGAGTCAAGGAAGAATAATGGAGGCAGCAATTTACTTCAAAGTAACTTTGATTGGCCTCGATGTTATTTCCTAACGTAAATCCACCCTGTAAGCACAGGCCCTGATCCACTTCAAATGTAGTCTATATATAATGCTTTATTTCAACACCCAGTCTTCTGTTTGCCCGGAAAATAACCCCAATGATACTTCCTCCTCTAACACTCTCACTCAGAGGCCAGGTGTTCAGACAACTCCAGTGCCAGAGAGGGCTTTTCATGCCATTTTCTGGTCAGTACTGAGTATTGCCCTTCACGTTTGGTCTATGAATCACAACCTCTCCAAAAGGGGGAAGGGGAGAGGAGGAGGAAGAGAGGGGAGGGCAAAGGAAGAAAAGAAGGGAGGGAGAGAGGGAGGGAGGGAGGGAGAAATGGAAAGAAGGGAGGACAGGGGGAGAAGAAAGAAAAGATACCCTACCTGGTTTGGCTCAGTGGATAGAGCGTAAGCCTGAGGACTGAAAGGTCCCAGGTTCGACTCCAGACATGGTACATGTCCGGCTGCAGGCTTGATCCCCAGTAGGGGGCGTGCAGGAGGCAGCCGATCAATGATTCTCTCTCATCACTTATGTTTCTCTCTCCCTCTTCTTTCCTCTCAGAAATCAATAAAATATTTAAAGAGAGAGAGAGAGAGAGAGAGAAGGAAGAAAAGGATAAATTACTTACAACCCAAGAACCATGTCCATTTCCCACCTGACTTAACTTGAAGGTCTGCCTTCAGTTGTGGAAGCCAGGGAGGACTGTGCATTTCAGTACACACAGGCGAGCTTTTCACTTGGCATCACCTTACAGATCCCACTGGAAGGGCGCTCAGTGAGGTGAGGGCAGGGCCATACCCGCCTGCCTGCCTGCCTGCCCTGTACAGTGCTGCACACTCAGGACCCAGAACAGTGCCTGACACACAAATGCAGCTCAGTGAGTATCTGTCAAATGGATAAAATTAATCTGCAACTCATCCCCCAGCTCCAGCAGGCTCCATGTAGGGGGACTGGTGGTCTCTCTTGTGCCTTTCTCCGAGTGACTTGGGGGGCCTCCTACCCACTGAGAGCTCATTTTTAGCTAATTTTAACACACAGAGACTGACTGAAAAAAATAATGGATGCTTTGTGGAAAACTGGAAAGTACCGTTACTTGAGGATCGTGGAAATGTACTTAGTATCACAGCCCTGTATATAATTACACATTTTTTTAAAATATATTTTATTGATTTTTAACAGAAAGGGAGAGAGATAGAGAGCTAGAAACGTCGATGAGAAACATCGACCAGCTGCCTCTTGCACACCCCCCACCGGGGATGTGCCCGCAACCAAGGCACATACCCTTGACCGGAATCGATCGACGCTCTACCGCTGAGCCAAACGGGCTTCGGCTATAATTACACATTGTTTCCTCATGAACGGTTTCCATCTTTAGGTGAGGCATGTCAAAGGTTTTTCAACAGGAAGGGGCTCTAAAGAAAAGAGACTAGTAAACAAATAAAAGCTCCACAATCATACAGGAGTGCTTAGAGGAGATAGGTAAGTAACAGGACAGAAGAGAAACGCTAAGAAATCAAAGGCGGCGTGCACCCACAAAAGGAGAAACCCCACACGAGGAGGCAGACGTCCTCTTAGCTAAAGCAGGACAACGCAGAGGCTTGGCAGCTTGGAGGAACCAAGCAAAGGACCTCCAGGACCCTGAACCTCCTGCAGGTTTCACCCCCATCATTCTGCACCAACAAGCACTCTCACCTGTTGCTTAAAAACTCATTCCTGTTTTGTTGTCCACTGACCCTCTTTCGGGGATCTTTTTTAAACTCACACGAGGACAGCATGTTACAACTCTCAAAGCGCTTTCACACAGATTGCTTTCTTAGATGATTTCATTCCTGAGCACCCAATGAAAACACAAAGACAAATAACCGAGAGCAACAGTCTGCAAGGGACTGAATCAGTCTAGGACTGTGAATGATTCTACCATTTTTGCAGACTAGAAATGTCAGTACCATTTTTGCAACTAGAAATGAAGTCTGATACGCTAAGTGACTTGTTGACTCGTTCAAGATTAGAAAACTGTTTCTATTACACCCTATTGTACCCTGCACAACACCTGCACAGCTAAAGATGCTGCTTTCACCACAGAAAAAAAAAGAAAACACCCCACACAGGACAAGGATCCATGCTTCTCTATCAAGGCTGCCATATAATCTTTAAAAACTCAGGAATTAAAAAGCTGTCTTTTCAATAACATCTGTATGACACCCAGCACAGCTTAGGCAAAGAGCTGGAGCTGACCTGATTCCCCAGCCAAATTGAGTCTTCACAGCGTATTCTTCAGCACGAAGACCTGTTTGGGCCAGTGTTTCCAGAACTCTTGTCCTGTATTTATTTATTCACCTCCCCCAACCTGGTCACAAAAGTATTTCAAGCTGTGGTTCTAAAATATAGTTGACAATTCTCAATCATTCAAACTCCCCCTCAACCCCAATGTCACAAGTATCCAAACATCTACAGTCCAAAAATAAGTTTGTAATAATCAGTGTGGTCAGACTCAGAGAAAGTGCACAAAGTTCAGTTCTACTCAATCATGAACGTGTTTCCTTCCTATCACCACCTCTAGTGGGCCAGCGGCACAAAGCCAGGTTTACGGAGCCGTCAGGTGGGGAGACGGGCAAAGAGGAAAGGAAGCACCTAGAGGAGGCCCTGGACTCAAACAGGAAATGCTGCTGATAGAAGTCTATCTCCTTCCACCCGTCCTCCCCTCTGCTGTCTGTGACCCTGGGATCAGCCTCTCCTGGCCTTAATGACTCTCTGCCAAGGGTAACTGGGAAGAGGCACGGTAGGAACTGAGCTTTAGTTTCGTTCATGGAAGTGGTCACTTTAAAGTGGAGAAACCCTTTCCACATCATAGCACAGTAGGGACCAGGGACTGCAGGTTAAGCAGTTTGTTTCCGGAATCCTCACAAGGAGAACAGCCTCGCTCCCTGTTCTCAGGGCAGCACTACTAGTGTCTTTAAGATCACTCAGTCCTGCCTGGCCGGTGTGGCTCACTGCTTGAGCATCGACCTACGAACCAAGAGGTCAGGGCTTGATTCCAGGTCAGGGCACATGCCCGGATTGCAGGCTCGAACCCCAGTAGGGGGCGTGCAGGCAGCAGCCTATCCATGATTCTCTCTCATCATGGATTTCTCTTTCTCTCTCCCTCTCCCCTCCTCTCTGAAATCAATGAAAACTATTTAAAAACAAAACAAACAAAAAAATCACTCAGTCCTGAAAGTAGGTGTATATGGTTTTCTTTTTAATGTTTTTATTATTATTATTATTATTATTATTATTATTATTATTTCAGAGAGAGGAAGAGAAACATCAATAATGAGAATCACTGATCTGCTGCCTCCTGCATGCCCACTACTAGAGATCAAGTCCACAACCTAAGCATGTGACCTGACCGGGAATCGAACTGTAACTTCCTGGTTCATGGGTCAACACTCAACCACTGAGGCACACTGGCCCAGCCTAAAAGTGTTTTTCAAGTTAAAGTAAACATGGAAAAGTACTCCTTCTCTTTTCTAGGGACATAGGTGATTTTTTTTTTTTTTTTTTTGGAAGTTTTGGACAGGGGCACTTTCCAACTCTGAGTTATTTCACTAGTGAATAATAAGCAACCTCGTACCTTTCTTAATAAGAGAGCATATTACCTGAACCAGAGCAACATTTCTGGGATCTGAATCACAGTTCTCTCTTACATGCTGGTTGTGATTGTAAAATCGCACCAGAGTGAGCTACAACCCAGAACAAACCATCAGCCTTTTAAAAGGATGGCTAGCCCTAACCGGTTTGGCTCAGTGTATAGAGCATGGGCCTGGGGACTGAAGGGTCCCAGGTTCAATTCCGGTCAAGGCCATATACATTGGTTGTGGGCACATCCCCAGTAGGGGGTGTGCAGGAGGCAGCTGGTCAATGTTTCTCTCTCATCGATGTTTCTAACTCTCTCTCTCCCTTCTTCTCTGGGGAAAAAAAAAAATCAATGAAATATATTTAAAAATAAAAAATAAGAAGGATGGCTAAATCATTACCGGGTTTTTGAGACCCTCCTAAGCTCTCACACAACTATAAAAGCAATGGAAAAATACACCTAATGTGGGTCCAGGTGTCCAGGTATCATAACACAGAAGTGGGGCAAGAAAGACAGGCTGTAAGAACTCTTGCATCATCTAAGATTCTAGTTGCTGAGGGGAGCCTGAAACCTGAAAAATGGACTCCAGAAGAGATTTTTACCTTTCATATTCAGGAGCAATAATTAAACATTTTGACCACTGTTCCTTCAAGGGTTCCACAATGCACTTCCTACTATTCTCATCTCTGTCTATTAGCATGTGTGACCCTAGTTAGGTAGGCACTGGCAGGAACAGATCAGGAATCCACCACATGCTCAGATTGATAACTGCATTCTTAAAAATAATAATACATAACAAAAGACCCATGAACCAGGAAGTGATCCTCAGAGGTCCAAAAACCAGGCAAGTATGGCCTCCATCTCCACTTTCCAGATATCCACCACAAGTGCTATCCAGCTTTACAGCCATAGAATCAACAATATGTACAGTGTTTCATAGGAAATACACATCAACGAAGCTCTAATGGTAAAATGGGCAATTCCACCCAAAAACTAGAGTAGATGCCTTCTCATCTAAAAGTCTTGCTCCTACTCCAACAAAATCCTGTTCTCCAATCACACGCATTTCTAATGAGTGAAGAGTGACTGCCTGTCTTTCTTCTTGGGCAGTAAACTCCTGAAGGAGACTCACTCTGTTCTTTACTGTATACTAGAGGCCCGATGCACGAATTTGTGCAAAGGGCTTGGCCCCCAGCCCCCGTGGCTTTGTCCAGAAGGTCTTCTGGAAGGACGTCCGGTTTAATGAGCATATTACACTTTTATTATTACAGATTCCTAGTGTGCTAACTGCATCCTCAAGGGCAGGTTTAAATTAATGAAAATTCAGGTTAAAGAAGGCAAGAGGACAAGCAGGTAACCAATATGTTTCAAGCTTTTCCGTTATACACAGACACGTTTTCTAACATCTCTTAGTACACAACACAGGTGTGTCTACCTGAAACAAGCGTCATGAAACGATATTTACCCTTACAAGGACAATGCACTCCGCTACCTTCTGTTTCTTTTTTCCTTTAATGATGGTTGTGATCCAGTAAGCTGATTTCCAACTAATCAACGGGACTCGGTTTGCCTGGGAGTTCAGTGTGAACTGCACTAGATCAAAACTGATAAACTCATTCCACAAGCTACTCACAAACGCTTCAGAACGCCCCCAGAGACACTGAAACGCCACAGGAACCAGACACACTCTCTCCGGGTCCGGCAGCCCAGGGTTAGGCACCTCCCAACCTCCAGCTTCTCCCCAATAACCCCAAGTGACCCTGTCAGAGGCCCTTTTGTTAGCCTCTTTATAAATGCAGCCCTTTCGATCTCTTTACTGCCCTCTGTGAAAAGCAGTGCTTCCCTTTTTGTCTCCAAACCCAGCCCCTTCGAGACTGAAGGGAAGAAACCCTCCCAGGAACCCAAAGGTAAACGAACCAGCTGGTGCTCTGTGCCTAACTGTGTGGGCGATGCGCTCCTGCACAGGAGTCCGCAGGACGCGCGCGCGCACCTCTGCCTCTCGATCAGCTTAGTGCTCTCTTTTATCCAGGTAATCCCAGGCAGACGCGGCCTCGGGTGAAACGAGAAACCAGGGAAGCCCCGGGAGCCGCGGGGCAGCGAAAGCAGTGGACTCACTCTCCACACCACAACACGCCTGACAAGTCACCAAGTTATCTCCGGGTCCAAACTGGGAAGCGGGGTGCGAGGACGAGAGAGGCAGACAAGCTCGGAGGGACGTGCCGCACCAGAGGGACCGGCCCAGGGCGCCTTGCCAAGGCCCGACCGCAGCGCGCCCCCGCCCGGGCCGCCGGCCCCAAACTCCTGGGAAGCAGGTGAGCACCGCCCGGGCGCGGGGCGCGGAGGCCACGGGAGCCCCGCGCCGCCCTTGGGAATGGGAGGGAGGGAGGAGGGTCCGGGTACGAGATCTCCCCTCCCACAGCCCCTGTGCCCCAGAGCGCCTATCCTCAGCGCCCTCCGGCCTCTGCGCGCCCACCCACCCCGGAAAGGGCGCCTCCCGCCCCAGGACAGCGGAGGGAGTCAAGTGTTAGGAGCAGGACGCCCCCTACCCCCGCCTCCCCGCCCCTCCGTACCGCTCTCGCCGCCCCGGAATCTCCCGCCGCGGGCCCCTCCGGCCCAGCGCCGCCTCCCCCCGCGCCCCACGCGGCCTCTCCGTGCGCCTGCGCCTGCGCCCGCGCCCGGCGGGCCCCGCCCCGAGAGTGCGCGCGCACCCTGCGTGGCCCCGCCCCGCCCCTCCTCCGCCCCCCCCCTCCCTCCCGGGACACCGCCGCGGCCGCCGCAGGAGCCGGGAGCTCGAGCCGCCCAGCGACTCCCCCTCCCCTCCCCCAGCCCCGCCCCGCCCCGACCAGGGGCTCCGAGCCGGAGCCGAGTCTGCGCCTGGGGGTGAGTACGCGACCCTTCCCCAGCCCCCCCCCTCTTTCTTTCCCGTCCCCTCTCGGACGATCCCGCCGCCACCCGAGGAAAAACCCCAGACTCGGCTGCGCGTCCCCTCCCTTCCACCTCCCGCTGGACCCAGAGGTGCCCGGGCCCGCGGGACCTGCCGATGCCGCGCGCCGCCCCGAACCCCGCACCATCTTGAGCCAGATGCGAGCCCGGCGACCCCCGCCCGGGTTCCAGATGTGCACTGCCTTCTGCGCCCACCCCGCCGGGGACCCTGAGGGCTGGGACCCCCGCCGCCCCAGAGCCGCTCTTCTCCCGGCCGCCCGGGCCAGGTGCGCCTGCCCTCCGCGGCCCTCCGGGCTTCCAGCTGCGCCCAGGCAGCCCGCCGCCGCTGCGGGGAGCCCGCCGCCGCCCCCGCCCCCGAGTGTTGTGTGCCAGGGTCTCCAAGTCCGATGGCCTCGGCTTCTTTTCTATATTCTCGTGCTCCCGGGGCCAAGGACCCCACTCCCCGAGGCCGAGCCCGGGGCAGGGGTTCGAGCCCGGGGAAGGGCAGGTGTCGCGGGCGCTGGCACGAGGCCGGCCGCTGCCCCCAGCCGGCCTGGGCACTGACTGGTCGCGGGCTGGGGAGGCGGCTCAGCCCCGGGAGCGTGCGTCCTCTCCCTGCGCCCCACACAGTGCAGTTCATTCATGAGCCGCCCGGGCCTGCGTCGGAGGGTGCGGTGGAGAGAGGAGGCAACGGCGGCGGAACCGGGAGTGGGGCAAAGGCCCAGCTGGGAGGAGGCGCGCTTTGTCCCTCCCGGCCTTCCTGACCACCTAGGGAGGTCGGCCTCAGAGCTTTGGCGCCTTGCGTCCCAGCAGAGGAGGACGCTGGGGAAGTAGAGAGGAGAGGTCAGAGGGGCCGGCTGCCCTTGGGGCTCTGTGCTGCCACCTGCCTGGGTCCCCTGTGCAGAGGACTGGCCGCTGGGCACTGCACTTCCCCAAGGGAGAGGGGAAGGGGTCTGGGGTTCTCGGCTCAGTACCACTCTCTGGTCTCACTGTGGGTCTGCAGCAGCCTAGGAAGAAGGAGGCTGAGCCTAACCCTCGGAGGAGGGCTCCTGGCCCTGCCTGCCTCCCAGGCACTGGCGAGTAGGGGAGCGGGAGTGTCTGCCAGGCTTCCAGTGGGGGTGTGCTGGCAGTATGGCCATCCTCCAGGGCACCCAAGGGCCCAAGCCCTGGCATGCCCCAGGTGGCACATGCTGAGGCCTGCTGCTGGCTCACCCGACTCAGTCTTGGCCCATGGGTGGGTGGGTGGGGATGTTGCAAGGCAAAAGGCAGGTGTGGGGGGTAGCTAAGAATCCCTTTTAGACATCCTGCACGTTCCCTCCAATTATAACAGTCTTGGAGACTTGAGTTCAAATTCCAGCTCCGCTGTGTGACCTTGACAAGTTACCTAACCTGTCTGAACTTCAGTTTCAATTAAAAAGTGTGTTCGCTGCCACTTCCTTTCAAGATTTATCCTGGGGATCAAAGTAGACAGCCCAGGTAGGGTCTGGCACCCTGCCTGGGAGTTGATCAATAACGGGTTCTCTTCTCTGAACTTCTGACCCAGTCTAGCACAGCATCACCCTCCTGTACCCCCACCTCCCAGCCGGCTGCCCGTGGGGTGGGTACAATGGGAACATTCCCTGCCTCTCCGTGGCAGAGTCCCCAGTGTGGGATAAGCCCTTCGGTGGAAACAGGAAGCCCATCCTGACGGAGGGGCTCTGTCATATCATAAGTTTCCTTTTTATTTTGAACAGTTTCCCCCCACAATTTATTAATAACAGTAGGTAATGTTTTAGAACCAATTATGTACCTTGAACTGTCTTAAGAGCTTTGCATAAGTCATCTCGTTTAATCCTCAAAACAGCCACACGGCTGAACTATTATCCCATTTTACACAGGAAGGAACTGAGGCCCAGGATGGTAATTTGCCAGGTCAGGCCAGATCTGTCTCATCGGAGAGCCTGTGCCTTGTTCCTTACCCCTGCCTCAGAACCTAAAATCACAAACCCTAGGCCTGAGAGTGTGTGTGTGCGTGGGGGGGGGGTGGGGGGGGCGGTTTACAAGCAAGAGGGAAGGTGAGCAGGTAGAAAATAGGGTGGGGCATCTTCCAGACTGACAGCTGCCAGCCCCCAGCTCCCTGGTGGCAGTGGCTCCCTGTGGGCCCAGGCAACAGAGCATAGTGGTGAAGAGCATAGACTTCACCTGGGCTGCCTCGGTCCATATCTGGACCCACCACAGACTGGCTGTGTGACACTGGGCATGTGTACCCTCTCGGGACCTCACTGTCCTAGAGTTGTGCTGTGGAGTAAATGAGTTAACATTTGTAAAGTGCTTAGGACATGCCTGGCACAGAGTAAGAGTTAAAGAAGTATTTGATAATTGCATTCTTTTCCTACTCATTTGTGAATACATTTTTGCCCATCCCTCTGAAGTGGGTAGGAACAGAGAGAGGATGCTAACTCTGTGACAGATGAGAGGATTCAGGCCCAGGTTACATAGTGCAGAGTAGCCTCCGTTTCCATCTCCTCCCAGTAGATCACACTACCTTCCCAAGATCCCAAGCCCTAAATTAAATCTTCCCAAGTAACTCTGTAAGAAAACACTTGTAACTTCTAACTCACCCACCCCTGCCACGCACACTCTTCTTAATGGTGAAATAACAGCCTTCCGTTAGCCATAAATAAAATCTTCCATCACTCTCTGCACACTTCCAGCTAAAAGCCTGCATCAGACTAGAGAAATTCCGGGATACAGCTGGCTCTGGCAACCTCGTGGAGTGGAGGCACTGCCCTCACTCCCTTACTACCTACCCCTCCCCACCCCCCTCCCCCCAGAAAAAAAAAAATTCTGCCTCATTCTCTTCCCTCTCTGCTGCTCTCAGGGAAGGAACAGCTGCCCTGGGTGAAACAGCCCTGCAGACCCACCCCCACAGTTAAGACATGGAGTAACCCTGTCAGCCAGTAGAGCCACCAGCCCTGGCTCCACCGACCTGCCCTGTGACCTCCTTTGAGGAGCTTCTCCTCCCTGGGTCCCTGAAAATGGGGAGAGTGATCTGCCCTGCTTTCCTCGTGGATTAGGTGGGAAGATCAGTGCAATTGGGGGCAGGGGGGGGGCAGAGTGTTTGTGACTGTAAAAAGGAAGTCCCCAGATGGACATGGTGATTTCAGTTACTAAGCATCTACCTGGACTCTCCTCATGCACCCTACCTGGTTCCCTTAATATAGAAGCTCCCAGAATATTCCACATCTTTCCAGGTGGAGAAGATGGGTGTGTGTGTGTGTGTGTGTGTGTGTGCGCGCGCTCCAGGGGTTTATACCCATTACCTTCTGACCTGGTGGCACCTTGGAGTTGGGGAGAGAAGCAGACAAGGAGTGGGAATGGGCTATCTTAATTTCTGGAGTGCATTAGAGTTGGGGGTCAAAGGGGGACTAATGTACATGCTCCTCAACTACCACAGACCCCTATCCCTACCCTATCCCTACCTTTAACCTCCCCTGGCCCCCCAGAGTTCTGGGCACCTTGTGCTTACACACCGAGGCTCCCAGACAAACCCACATACATACCCCCACGTACAGACCAGCACTCCATCCCTGTGTGCTGCCATGCAGTCACCTAGCTGCCCCCCACCCCACCCCACACATAAATACATCAGCATTTACAAGCCAAATGCACACCCACTGTGCTCCCTCGTTCTCTCGCCAGGGGACAGTCATTGAGCATATACAGAGTTTCCTTGGTCCGCAGAGTCCTGTGCTAGGCACATCGGAAAGCATCGTGGTGCCCTGAAAAGTGTCCTAGCTTTAGAAAGAAGGACGAGGTTCGAATCCCAGGCCCATCCTCTTGTTAGTAGCATGACTTCAGGAGTCACGTAACCTTTTTGAGCCCCCATGTCTTCATCTTAAATGCCAGTGTCATCTAACTCGGGATTGTCAAGGATTAAATGAAATCATGTATGTATTCTTGAAACAGGGGGTACTCTAAATGACACTTGCTACAGTTATTAAATTAGTTTGGGGGACGGGATGGGAGGGGCGGTTCTTAAGGCAACTTAGGCTGGAAAGGAAGAGGGAGGCATGTCACACGGGGCAGTTACTCCCTTAGCCTTCCTAACAGGCTTTCAGAGACTCCCGGGGACCAAATGGAGCACATAAACAACCCAGCTTCTCCCTCCACCTAAGGGTTCATGCCTCTTGCCCTGTGGTCTAAGTGTTGGGGGGGAGGGGGGGGCAGGAATTGGTGGGCAGGAAAAACTCTGAGTCACCCCATGGGGCTGTGGGGACACTTGACCCCAGTGTTGCAGTCACCAATGCTGAGTTTGTTGTTCTCTTTGTCTGCTTTCCTTTCTTCCCTGGAGACACCACCCCTCCCCACCCCCACCAAGCAGAGCTTCAGTGTTGTCAGCAGAAGGGGGCCCCAGGGGCCATCCAGTAAACGGGGGTGGGGCAGTGATGCCACAGCCACACTTCTCCTTGGAAGCCTCCCCAGAGCACTGCATGGCCCGTCCCCAGGCACTTCCAGAACCCTGGCATCTGGGCTGCCCGTCCCTTCTCTTCTCCCCACCCTCCACCTGGACCATCGGACCGTCCAGGGCTGGACAGCCCTGCAGTAGCGGGAAACCGGACTGGACGGCAGTACTGGCAGCCAGGGGTTTGGACAGGCTCAGAGGCCCCCGCCCACTCTCCCTTCCTTTGCCAATGGAAAAGCTCGCTGGAGGCACGCATTCCCAGCCTGCCCTGCTCCTGCCCCTGGAGCAGGGCAGGCTGGGAGTTGTAGTCTCCACACCATTCAGGTGATTCCAGTGCAGAAATAATTGGAGAGAGGTGAGGAAGTCTAGTGGAGAAGCGTGCAGCTGCTGCCTGGGCAGGGGAAAAGGAATGAGAGTAAGCAACAGTGACTGGGTTAGTCCAGAAGTCCTGCTTTTTAATCGACTTCCCGCTCTGACCCTCTTCTCAGACCCCCTACCCTGGGGACAGCGGGGGCAGCTCTGAAGGTGAATATCTTATTTTGAAGTCAGTTATGTTGGGAAGGTGATGACTTGAAAATTCTAAGCAAATGAAAACATGTCCTTTTTCTAATGGGAGAGAGAGAAGATCGGGGTGGGGTAGCTGGTTCCTCACCCTCCGATGGTGGAGAGACCCCACCTTTTAGCCTTGGATCCGCAGGCATAGGACCCCTCCCCATCTTCTCTCAGGCTCAGCTCCGCCCCCTGGCTGAGACAGGGAGAGAAGGAGACAGAGACTGTGTGTGTGGAGAGCATTTGCAAGTGTGTGTGTGGAGGTGGTGGGCGGTAGGTGTTAGAGGCCCACAGACGACTTCTAGCTTAGAAAAACCAGTCTCCCCAGTCCCCATCTGGGCCAAGTTCCCCAGACCCGGGTGGGGTCACAGCCTGAGAGCCAGTGAAGGTAAATTTATAATGACTCAACCCTCCCCTCCCCAGGCGCTTATCTCTGGAGGCCAGCACTTCCACCCACCCAGCAAGCCCTGTGACCTACCCTGGCTTCCCCCTCCCCACACCCACCTTGCCAGAGCTCTGAGAGGGAGAGGGGCCAGGCCCCGCTGACCGCTCTGCCCTCTGCCCAGGAGGACCATGCGGCAGTAGCAGTCATGCTGCCCTTCCTGCTGGCCACACTGGGCACCACGGCCCTCAACAACAGCAACCCCAAGGACTACTGCTACAGCGCACGCATCCGCAGCACCGTCCTGCAGGGCCTGCCCTTCGGGGGCGTCCCCACCGTGCTGGCCCTCGACTTCATGTGCTTCCTTGTGAGTGCTCGCGTGCCACCCACGTCCTTGGCACCCACCCATACTCTGCACATAGCTGGCACAAATACCTGGAGCTCTAACCACTCTCCCACCTGGCCCTGACTCCCCAGGCTTAACTGCAGGAGGCATCCCCATCCCACAGCACAAGCCTAGCCTCTGCCCGTTCCCAGGCCAGGGCCACCCCCTTCTAAGACAAGATGCTTCCCCCCTTGCCCCTGCTCTTCTGGCCAGTCCAGTGGGCGAGTGGCCTCTCCCCCTGCCAACCCCTCCCTCTCCCCCGCCTCTTCCCTCAGGCATTGCTGTTCTTGTTCTCCATCCTCCGGAAGGTAGCCTGGGACTATGGGCGGCTGGCCTTGGTGACAGATGCAGACAGGTAAAGCTTTGGGGCTTCCCCACCTCTGCACACGCACACACAGCGTGTGCCATACGCCTCTAGAAAAGGGCCAGCCCTCTGCCACCCCCCTGGTTTGGGGGGGCATGAGGGCCCCTCATTGGGCCTTTGTCCCTTGCCATTTCCAGGGACCCTCCCCCCTCCCCCCTTCCCCTCCCCTAACGTTGTCTGTTCTCTGCCCCCAGGCTTCGGCGGCAGGAGAGGGACCGAGTGGAACAGGAATAGTATGTGGGGCGCCAGCCCCCTCATCCACTAAACCAGCTTTCTCTTTCCTTCTCTCGTGCTCCTCTTCTCTCCTGCCGAGTCGCTGGTTTTTTCTCTCTGCAGTTTTCTCTTCTGCAGGCTCCTTCTCGGATTAACGCAGGCGGTGTGCTTTGCAGAGCAGGGGGCTCCCCAGCTTGTCGCTGCCTTACCCCCCAGCTCTCTCCCCGGCTCTCTGCCTGGGAGAAGCCCTCCCTGTGCGCCCAGCCTCCGTGGCTGGAGTGGAGGGGCCGTCCTCCCGGAAGTTCACAGAAACCGCACCCGGTTGGTGGCAGAGTCAAGATGGGGTGTCACCTGTGGCTTCCCTAACAGCTGGCTCTTCTTATTCCAGGGTTCTCTGCCCACTGCTTCAGGAGGCCTGAGAGGGGAGCTGCCCGAGGAGCCCCCGGTCTGGCCCCCTGTGTCACGTCTCGGTCTCTGTCTGTAGGACTGGTGGTGGAACTTCGGCAGCTGCTGGGGTCAGGGAAGAGGGTGGATCCGGGCCCACCTGGGAGGCATCCCCTCGGCCCCCCTTGTCCATCCTGTCCTTCACCTCCCCGTGGCCCTGCGCCCTGTCCGCTCCGGAATGGCAGGGCCAGTTCCCACGCTACCTTCAGCCTCCAGGGGGCGACGATGAAGACACCCTCCTCCCTTCCCCCTGCAGCCTGTGTCTTTCCCCAGACCCCGCTGAAGGGGGGAGGCGGGGAGAGGGGCCTCATTTCTTCTTTCCTGCTGGGCCACTGCGCTTTCTGTGCCTTGTCTCACGCCTGGAGCTCTGGAGGGGGAGCCCGCCCGCGTCACCCCTGCCCGCCCGGGCGGGACCCGGACTCACCAGGCTCTCTCCTTTCTCGCCTCCTCACCCCCAGTGTGGCCTCAGCTATGCACGGGGACAGTCATGACCGGTATGAGCGTCTCACGTCTGTCTCCAGCTCCGTTGACTTTGACCAAAGAGACAATGTGAGTGCCCTCCCTGGACTTGGTAGCCACTCCTGGCCCTCCAGTGCAGGGGGGGAGGGGTGGGGGAAGGCAGCAGCCTTTAGCTCCCGGGAGCAGGCAGACCTGTGGTGTGAGGCCTGTGAGAGCCACAGGATAACCGCCCAGCCAAGAGCTCCTGGTGCTGTCCTCCCTGCCAGCCTCCAAGCTGGCACCAGCCTAATTCGTGATCTCGGACTTGTTCCGCTGTAGAGTCCTGTGCCAGCCTCTTGCTTAATTCTAAGGACCCCTTTTTCCTGAGTCATGGTCTCAGAAGGAATAATGAGCTTTCCGTGACGCTTACTGTGTTGCTCAGAGGTTGCAGGCGGGTGGGCAGGCAGCCCCTGGCTGGCGGGGTGGGTGGGTGAGGCCCGTTGACGAGCTTGCGGATTGGAGCTGCATGGCAGGGGCCCCCCCTGAAGCTAAGACTCGTCCTTGGTGATTCCCAGCAGTCCCCAGACCCCCTCTCACATCAGACCCACCTCCCTGGCCCCAGCGTTGTGCCAGGGCGAGTGTCCTGGTCAGTCCGAGTCTTCAGGTCCCGGGGTGGCCCTGGCCAGTCCCGCTTAGGCTGGGCCCCTGGGCAGCAGCTGCTGAGGCAGCTGTAGCGGAAGAAGCCTGCCAGCTTCCTGAATGGGACGCCTACTGGTAAGTGGCTAAGCGAAGGTGTCACCCGCCAGCCAGAACGAGGCTGCCCCGATGGTCCCAGACGCAGTGACATTGGCAGCAGGTAGCACAGCCCTCCCGGGCCAGAGGTTAGCTCTCTGCTCCAGCCTGTGTGCAGCCTGGACCTTCCCCTGGCCGGAAGGTGGGGAAGGGCTCTCCCTGCCCAGCCCTCCCCCGCGTTCCCCCGGCTCTGAGTGCGGGCTCTGTGGGAAGGCGGGTCTGGGACATGTGGGCGGGAGATGGTGCTCAGTGGCCTGTGAGATGTGTGTGCTGGAAGACAAGAGGCCGGGTCCCAGGCCGTGAGGCCAGCCCTCTGCTGGTGCCAGCCAGGCTGCAAACACTCCTTATTAGCTACAGGTCTAGAGGTCTCACTGCTCTTCCTAGACCACCCATCTCTGCCCTGGCCACACCGCTGCAGGCCTGCTCCAGTCTGCCGCCCTGTTGGGTGTTTGGCCTAGGCACAGTCCCTTTCTTTGCCCTTGGTCCCATTCTTCCTTGAAGGCTGGCCCTTCCCTCTCTCCCTCCCTGGGGTGAGCCAGTTTTGTGGGGGAGAGTTTGTGGAAGCTGCGCCAGGGTGAGCGGGACCTGAGGGGGAGGTTTAGGGCGGAGGGGGCCAGGGCTGCCGCTGATGGCCCTCTGTCCCCCCAGGGTTTCTGTTCCTGGCTGACAGCCATCTTCAGGATAAAGTAAGTGAACAGTCTTCAGGCTCTAAAGAAAGAAACAGAAAGACTTCAGCACTTGTCATCTCCCCACCCAATCCAGAGGCCAGCAGCATTGAGGGCCTTAGCGCTCCTAGCCAGCTTAGCACCCTCCTCCCTCCTCTAGGAGCCTGGCCCCGGAGCCTGGGCTCCTGCTGCGCCCTGAGCTAGCCTCACTGACTGCCCGTGGCCTCCTGTGCCCCCTGCCCGGGAGGCCCACGCCGCCCACAGCCCTCCCTGCCCCTGTGGGTGGGAGCAGCATGCAGGCTGGGAGCAGCCAGCCAGGCAGCAGCAGGCAGGAGCCAGTGTCGAGCAGAAGGCAGGAGCTGGCGAGTGCGGCAGGCAGGCAGTGAGCGCTGAGAGAGGCAGGAAGCCGCATAGGTCAGCACCGCCACCGCCCGCAGCCCCCGGCCCCTCCCCAAGCGGGCCATGTACCGCGTGCACCGGCACCCGTAAGGGGCCTGCGTCCCAAACCCCCTCCAGCCTCCTGCATCTGCTTCTTCTGTCACTGTCCTCCTCCTTTGGCCTCAACGCCCCCTTTCCCTTCTTCCTCTTTTGCTTTCCCTTCCTCTCCAGCCTTCATTTCTCTCTGCAGTCTTTCTTCTCCTTTCACTCCTCTTTCCTCCTTCTTCCTTCCTAACTTCCTTCCTGTTCCCTCAGTTATTCCTCTCCTTCTCTCTGTTCTCCCCCTTCTCCCTTCATCCTTCTTTTCCCCTTTCCCTTCCCGCTCCTCCTCCCTCTCTTCCCAGAAAATAGGAGTCTCAGACCCCATTTCAGCCCCACACTGCTGCCAGATTGGCAAGGGTGAGGGTGGGGGTGGGGGTGGGGTGGGTAAGGGCAGGCACGTGGGCGCCCTGGTGGCCTGTCCTCACCTGACGCCCTGTCCCCCGCCCTCAGGGACGATGAGATCCGGGACAAGTGCGGGGGCGACGCCGTGCACTACCTGTCCTTCCAGAGGCACATCATCGGGCTGCTGGTCGTCGTGGGGGTCCTCTCCGTGGGCATCGTGCTGCCCGTCAACTTCTCAGGGGACCTGCTGGGTCCGTGAGGGCCCGGATGTGGGGGGGCGGGGGGGGCGTGGAGAGGAGGACCCAGAGGCCACAGGCCCTGACCCCCCACCATCCTCTCCCCTTCCCCACCCCCCAGAGAACAATGCCTACAGCTTCGGGAGGACCACCATCGCCAACCTGAAATCAGGGTACGTTTGAGAAGCAGGTCTGTGAGGCCAGGGTCCATGTCAGAGATGAGCCCTAACAAGGAGGGAAGGAGCGGGAGGGTCGGGGGGGGGGGGCAGTGACTGAGTCTGTGGGGCCGGGAGGCTGTGGTTGGAAGCGGAAGAGGGAGCACCTGCTGTGGGGTCGCCAGGAAGGACCAGATACAGAGAGGAGGATGCAACCTCAGGCCGGGTCGGCGAGGCCACCTGGGGGGGGGGGGGGGGCAGTGAAGCCAGGGGGTAGGGCACGGAGAGGTGGCCTCTGGGATTATTTCCGTCGGAATGGGACAGTCTCAGAGTCTAGAGTAGGGGTGTCAAACTCAATCAGAGAAGGGGCCAAAATCTAAAATCCAGCCTAAATCGCGGGCCGAATGGTTTACTGAACAGTCATAAACTGTCACTGTGATGGAAACGCAGCGGAGTGCAGTGACGACAGCGCGGTGCGGGCCACATTGCAAGGCCTGGCGGGACGGATTTGGCCCGCGGGCCTTGTGTTTGACACGTGTGGTCTAGAGGATGTGGAGGGTGGGGCCCGCTCTGTGTGCCAGTAGAGGAGCCCTGCCCGGGGTTTGATTACCACCGAGAGGCCCGGGCTCTCTGAGTGGGTGTCTAGCCGCGTGGCCTCTGTGCCCTCTGCTCTGCCAGGAACCACCTGCTCTGGCTGCACACCTCCTTCGCCTTCCTGTACCTGCTGCTCACTGTCTACAGCATGCGCAGACACACGTCCAAGATGCGCTACAAGGAGGATGACCTGGTGAGTGGGGCAGAGCCGGGACCACCCGTGCCGCCTCTTCCTCTCCCTCTCACCCCCAACCCCCGCCCTCCCGGGCCTCTCTGGCATCAGCTTGAAGTGCATCAGCCCCAGAGTCAGGCCGGCTCCGTTGGACTCCTGGCCCAGCAGCTCAGGAGCCCCCACCCTGTACGCTAATTGCTTGGTTTCCTCTTCTGACGAAGGAAGTAACAGCGGTGCCGCTCCCGGGGGCGGTGGGGAGGCGAGGCGAGGAGAGGGATGCGTGGAAAGCACGCCGGCTGTGCCTGGCGCTCAGGAAAATGCTGTGGTTGTCAGACCCCCGCCCTTCTCTGCTGATTCCCTGAACTGGTAGCAAACGCCCACACCCCATGCCAGCCATTGCTCTGGGGCTTCACGGCCTGAGGGTCCGAGACCGGCACTCTGTCTCCTCGCCCGCAAGCCCCCGTGGAGCAGGGGCCAGAGGCTCTCTCGTTAGGCTCACTGCCTGGTTTCTACTAGAAATTCACCAGGGCCCCTCCCACCTCTCTCCGCTCCTCTCTGCTCTCCAATCCCCACCCCTCCCTGCATCTTCGGTCCCTCTCACCTGCCTCTCCCGCCAGGTGAAGCGGACTCTCTTCATCAACGGGATCTCCAAATATGCAGAGTCAGAAAAGATCAAGAAGCATTTTGAGTGAGTAGCCACACTCCTACCCCAGCCCCAGGCCCTGCAGACCCTTCTTTGCCTTTCAACTCCCAAGACCCTCCTCACGTGCCTCCCACTGCTCTCCCTCCGAGGTCTGGGCCACGGGAGGGTGGAGGTTAGACTGGAGAATTCTCTGGCTCTAGGGAGGCCGAACACCTGGCCTGGGTGATAGAACACAGGAGAAATACTTGGGAAGGGAGTCCAGTCTGTGCCACACAACCACCCCGACCCCTCCATCCACCGCCGTTTTCCGACATGAGCTGGGTGGTGGGCTGTGGCCCGAGGGTCCATAGGTGTCGCCTTTTCATAATTACGTGTGGTGGTCTGGAGTTTGTGTGTAGCCTGGCGGGGAGAGCTTCGTCATGGAGCCCAGGAGCGCCGGGCCGTGTGTTCCCTGAGGCTCTTTCCAGCTCTGGAAGTCTGTCCGGCAGGGAGGGGCCCCAGGTGCCAGGCGGTCTGTGTGCAGGATCAGGGATCCTAGCCTCATTCGTCTATCTGCTCAGCACGCTTCCTCAAGTGCTGGGCCTCGGAACTGTGAGTGTGAATAAAGGACCATCGAACTCTCGGGGGTTCGCAGCAGGGAGGCCAGCTTTAGGAGCCAGTCCAGGGCCTGATCAAAGAGTGGCCTGAGGTCAGTCTGTGGTCAGAATTAGGAGTTGGTCAGGGGCAGTGATGGTCTGAGTCAGGGCTGTCTGTGGTCAGGATCGGGATTTGGTGAGGTCTGGATTCCCTGTCGGTTGGCCGGGATCAGGGGTCGGGCGCTGTTCCGGGTCAGGACAGCAATGCGAGTGAGTCTGGTCAGGGTCAGGTTCCATGCCTCTGAGTGATGAGAAGATGACTGTGTTGTGATTACATAGGTAGATAAACACTTATTCCCTCAATAGGCATTTATTAGTCACCTTCTGTACCCCAGGTATAAGTAAATGAGAAACAGGCCTGCCCTCATGGCAGTCAAAATTAAATCAAACTTGGTCAGTATGAGAGAATGATTTGGGGTCCCACCTGGCACTTAAGCCGTGATCAGCATTAGAGGCAATCTGGGTCAGTATGAAGGACAGTGTGTGCTCGAATTAGGTGACATTTTAATAGGAATCAACTGTCGGCTTGTGCTGACTGAGTCCTTTAGCAACAAGTGTCTGTGGAGCTGCCCTGTGGCTTCACTGCAGTAGGAACTGGGGAAATACCAATAAGCAAAGAAGAAGAAGTCCCCACCTCCACCTGCTTACATTCCAGGGGGCCGAGGAGGACCAGGAGCGAGTAAACTAGTTATGGACACTGTGTCAAGTAGGTGCTAAGAAGAAAACCAGTTCGGCTGGCGTGGCTCCGTGGTTGAGCATCAACCTAGGAATCAGGAGGTCACGGTTCATTTCCCAGTCAGGCCACATGCCCGGGTTGTGAGCTCAGTCCTCAGTGCAGGAGGCAGCGGATTGAGGATTCTCTCTCACTGATGTTTCTTCTCTCTCTCTCTTGCCCTCTCCCTTCCTTTCTGAAATTAATAAAAATATATTTAAAAAGGAAGAAGCCAAAGCCAATTTGGCTCAGTGGATAGAGCGTCGGCCTGCGGACTGAAAGGTCCCAGGTTCAATTCTGGTCAAGGGCATGTGCCTTGGTTGTGGGCAGATCCCCAATAGGGAGTGCGCAGGAGGCAGCCGATAGATGTTTCTAACTCTCTATCCCTCTCCCTTTCTTTCTGTAAAAAAATCAATTAAAAATATTTTTTTAAAAACAAATGAAAAATAAAAAGGAAGAAGAAAACCAAAGCTGGAAGAGGGACAGAGTAAAGGTGTCAGGAAGGGTGTTCAGATGGGATGAGTTGGGGGACTCTGACGGGAATGTTTGAGCGGAGACCTGCATGCAGGAATGAACTCCACAGTCAAGCATCCGTCCATTCCACAAACATTTGTTGTGCACCTACTGTGTGCATCATACCAGGAAGACAAAGAACCAGTCATGGTGCTATCTGTGGGGAGCTCATGATCCAAGTCGTCTGTTTCAAGAATCTGGCTGTGGTTCTGTTTAGGAAATAGCCTTTGATTGAAATTGACGGTGAGCCCATAAGCAGAGGTGGTCCTAATGGGAGTCTGGGGGATCCATGGGGTGAATATTACAGCATATTTCATTGATCCAGGCTTCAGCACTCGTCCATCGGGCACCTCCTATGTGCGAGCTGTGGGCTCAGGCATGGGTATGTGGTGACACACAGGCTGCCTGTCCTCAGGGAGCCCCTGGGCCAGTTGACAGTGTTGGGCAGGGCTTGTGGTCCAGGCCTGGGGTCTGTCTGGATTGGAGGACTGGCCCGGCAGAGTTAGGGAATATCCTGTGTGCAAACGCAGGGAGCCTGTGTGGTGGGGATCAAGGGATTAGAGATTAGTCTTATGAGAATGAGGGCTCGCCTGCCACAGGGGTGAGGCCCTTCCAAAGAGGAGCCCTAAAATGGTCTGAAAATAACATTGTCAGGGGAAAGGTCCCGGAAGTGCTTTTCAAGAACCCCATCCCAGATGTCATGTTCCAAACTCTCGTGAGTTTTGTGTGGTCCATCTTGTTGCTTCAGAACCCTGTCTCCTGCATCCGTAACACTTAGTGGTCCTTCATGCAAATGTTTAATGGGGCTCAGTCTAGATTAGGGATTAAGACCAGTCAGCAGATACCCCTTGAGTCCTGCCAGGTACTAGGTACTGAGAGTCAAGAACAGTCTGGTCAGTCTCAAAGGTTGGGGTCAGCCTAGGGTCAGGGTTAGAGGGTCATTCTTGGATCTAGGTTATGGATCAGTTTGGGTCAGAGTAAAGGGTCAGTCTCTGTCCAGGGTTACAGGTCAATCTTGGGTCAAGGTTCAGGATCAACCTCTGGTTGGGTTTGGGGGAGAGATCATTCTGTAGCCTGGGCTGTGAGTTGGTTAGGGTCAGTCCATGGTCAAGGCTTAATGTTGAACTGTACCCAGACATTCTGGGAACAGGATAAAGGGAACAACCCATGAGTAGAAACAGTCTCTCGACGTAAAGTTCGCAGCCTCGGACAAGAATCAGACCACAGTCGTGGCTGCCCGAGCACCAAGCACTCACGTCCCGGGGCCTCGGCCCACACGGTCCCCACTCCTCTGTGCACACTCCCCCGACGCAGATCAGCCTGAGGAGGAATCTCAAAGAGTGATTCTCGGAGACCTCTCATCTGTGTAGACTAAGAAAGGGGTTGCTTGAATTGGGGGCGGAGGGGCGGGTGTCCTGAAGGTAATGGGGTCATGCATGAAAGTTGGGGTGTGTGGGCAGGGTCCCCGCTGAAGATGACGGTGGACTCTATTTCAGGGAGGCCTACCCCAACTGCACGGTCCTGGAAGCCCGCCCGTGTTACAACGTGGCTCGCCTCATGTTTCTGGATGCAGAGAGGTAATGGGCCAGGGACCGGAGGTGGGGGGTGACAGCTGTGGCCGCTGCCCAGTGCAGAGGGTGTTTCAGATCCATAGAGGAGCCTGGCTCCCCTGCCAGGTGTTTCCCGGGGCCTTTGATGTTAATTCAGCCCCTGGAGCGCTTATCAGTTCAGCTCTGGAGAGAGCAAGGCCTAGAGGTTAGAGCTGGTTGCAAAAGGCTTCATCGTCCCCACCCCCTCTGAAGACAGACCCTCCTTTAACTACCGAGTAAGGAATTGAGGCCAGACTACAGGAAGAATCTCTGGCCTTCGAGGGATGGGGACATGTTTGAAACATGCGTCCTAAACAAACCCAAGAGCAAGATAGTCCTGTCTCTAGGGAGAGGACTAGATGATCCCTGAGCTGGGCCCCCTCCCTGTCCTCCCAGCCCCAGCCCTGCCCCAGCGCTATTCCCCACCCCCAGCCCCAGCCCCCACCTCCGCCCCAGCCAGGCAGGCTGTGACTGGGCACTTGGTACCACAGGAAGAAGGCTGAGCGGGGAAAGCTGTACTTCACAAACCTCCAGAGCAAAGACAACGTCCCCACCATGATCAACCCCAAGCCCTGCGGCCACCTCTGCTGCTGTGTGGTGCGGGGCTGTGAGCAGGTACGAGGTGGGCTGGCCGGGGGCGGGGCCTGCCTGGCCTGGGCGCAGACAGCAGGGGGGCCCCAGAGCTGCAGGCGGCACCGGGAGGAGTTGGCAGGTCCTGGGGGGATGGGTCACAGCAGAGACGGATGCTCCCAGTGATATATGCCCCATAACCCTGGGAACACACACATAAGCAGGCCCTGCACACAACACCCAAAGGCAAACAGGCTCCCAGAGGGGCCAGGCCGGGCTGGAGCCAGGCCACGGCAGGGCGCAGTCCCTCTCCCCAGCCCTCCGCCTGTTCCTACAGTCCTTGCAGCCCCATCCCCACAGCTGTGTTGCCCCCTGTCCCTGCAGTGACCAAATTTTCAGGCCCTGAATCAGGGAGGTCAGCCAAGAGGACAGTGTTGTGCTGTATGCAGCGGCTTTTAGGCAAGTTTCTTTTCTTTCTTTTAAATAATATATTTTATTGATTTTTTTACAGAGAGGAAGGGAGAGGGATAGAGAGTTAGAAATATCGATGTGAGAGAGAAGCATCAATCAGCTGCCCCCTGCACGCCCCCTACTGGGGATGTGCCTGCAACCAAGGTACATGCCCTTGACCTGGAATCGAACCTGGGACCCTTCAGTCCGTGCAGGCCGACGCTTTATCCACTGAGCCAAACCAATCAGGGCTAGGCAAGTTTCTTGACTGCTCTGCACCTCAGTGTCCCCATCTGTAAGATGGGGCTCATTGTACCTACCTCATAGGATTGTGAGAAGCAGACAGGGCTCAAAGCAGCGCCTGGCCTGTAGGAAGCTGTAGGTCAGTGCTGGCTGGTGCTGTGGGCACCAGCCCAGCTCTCTGCCCAGATCTGCCTCACCCTTCCCTGCAGGTGGAGGCCATCGAGTACTACACGAAGCTGGAGCAGAAGCTGAAGGAGGACTACCAGCGGGAGAGGGAGAAGGTGAACGAGAAGCCTCTCGGCATGGCCTTCGTCACCTTCCACAACGAGACCATCACCGCCATGTGAGCCTCCTCCCAGCCTGCCCTCCCCCGGCCCCGGGCCCCCGGCAGTCAGCAGGGACCCCCAGGTCCCTGGGCTCCCTATCGGCTGGGCCCCTGGTAACTGGTGTCCATCCCCACAGCATCCTGAAGGATTTCAACGTGTGTAAGTGCCAGGGCTGCACCTGCCGTGGGGAGCCGCGCTCCTCGTCCTGCAGCGAGTCCTTGCACATCTCCAACTGGACCGTGACCTACGCCCCTGACCCCCAGAACATTTATTGGTGAGCAGGGGGCAGGCTCCGTGGGGCCTGGGTGGGCTGCCGTGGGCAGAGGGGAAGGGAGGGGATGGGAGGGGATGGGAGGGGAGGGAGGTCCTAGGTGTCCCTGGGGACCGAACAGGCATCCGGTCCCCGAAGTGACTGCCTCCCCTTCCTCCCCAGGGAGCACCTCTCCATCCGCGGCTTCATCTGGTGGCTGCGCTGTCTGGTCATCAATGTCATCCTCTTCATCCTCCTCTTCTTCCTCACCACCCCGGCCATCATCATCACCACCATGGACAAGTTCAACGTCACCAAGCCCGTGGAGTACCTCAACGTGAGGCCACGCCCCCCACCCCTCCACTATGTGTCTCAGGACCCAGAAACCGGGCTCTGACTCCCTCCTGGGAAGGAGCGTGGGGGACTAGGATGCCTCCTGCCCAGTCCCAGCCCACCAAGCAGTTCCCACGTGACCCTGGGCTGCAGGTCCCACTGTGTGCCACCTCCTCCCAGGGGAGAAAGAGAGCCAGGGCCCCGTCCTAACTGACCATATGACCTTGGATCAGTCCTATCCCTCACTCCAAGGTAGAAGGTTCAGACTAGGTCCCTGGCTTCTCGACTCGGAGCTTTTATCGGAAGGAATCTTACATGAAACCCAGTGTGGAGAGTCAAGGCTCCTCAGGTGATAGATAGAGAGGGGGACACTCCACCTGGTCTCCCCTCACCCCTCCTGCCACGTCATTCAAAGGAGGGTCGTTTGAAAATCTCTGAGTTATACTAGCCCAGTCAGTAAGACCCAGACTACCTGGGTTCCAATCCCCAGCCCACTGCTTACGAGCTGGGTAAGCTACTGAACCGTGCGGGGGAGTTTGCCTCAGTTGGCTCATCGCTAACACGGAGTAATAGCGTTATGAGGAATCCGTGCAAAGTACGTGGCCAGTGCTTGGCACATAGTATGTCCTCAGCACGTACTAATATATTTCACCCTGGGGCTTGTGCATCTGGCCCCGGCCCCGACCCTCAACCCTGGGCCTCCAGATGTCTGGGCTTCTGATATGGGGCCCGGGACTCGGGGGGAGCGGGCAGGGAAGCAAAGCAAGCTGGGCCCACCAGGCTTCCCTCGCCTGAAGCATCCTCCCACCCCCCCACCCCCATGTACCTGCAGAACCCCATCATCACCCAGTTCTTCCCCACCCTGCTGCTGTGGTGCTTCTCCGCCCTGCTCCCCACCATCGTCTACTACTCTGCCTTCTTCGAAGCCCACTGGACACGGTGAGCAGCTCCGTGCACATGGCGCCTGGAGGCACACCCAGCCACGGGCAGCCCTTTGCCACTGAGGCCCCCTGCCCCCGGGGTCCCAGCGCGGGCAGGGAGGCATGGTGCCAGCACCTCCCCTTGGGAAGCCCCCTCTCCCCAGGGGACCCCCCTGGGACACTGCATTGGCTGGGGGAGCGGCCTGGGGACCGGCCCGCTGACCTCTGCCCCTCCGCCCCCTGCCTCAGCTCCGGGGAGAACAGGACCACCATGCACAAGTGCTACACCTTCCTCATCTTCATGGTGCTGCTCCTGCCCTCGCTGGGACTGAGCAGGTGGGTCCGCAGGAAGGGACGGGAGCTGGGGCGGGGGGCTGTCGCAGGATGGGGAGAGGGAGCAGTCCAGGCTCCCACCTCCCCTCCCAAGCGAGGGACCCCGTGCCTAGGGGCACCCTCAGAGGCTCCCGGCTGGGACTCCCCATCCCTACTCCAGCCCCCACCACGCCTCTCCTCTCCAGCCTGGACCTCTTCTTCCGCTGGCTCTTTGACAAGAAATTCTTGGCTGAGGCAGCGATTCGGTTTGAGTGAGTGGCCGGGGCCCCAGGGAAGAAGACTGGATGGAGGACGGGGCGGGAAGGCCTGGGAGGGTAAAAGCTCCCCAGCCCTGCGGCTGGGAGGGGAGGGGCTTACATCCCAGGCTGCCAGGAGCGTCCCAGACTCACGTGTCTCAGGCATATGCCTGGCAGTTGTCCCTGGTTGTGTTGGGGCTCACTCCAAGGTCTCCCTCAATGTGTATTTAAGGCCCCACGGCGGGAGGTGGGGGGGAGGTTGAGGGCTCTGGGTTTATATTCTGGGGTGAACTCTGGGACTTGGGACGTTTGGAGAGGTATGCGTGGTGGGATCTTGGGGGTCCCTAGCGTATCCTTGAGGGTCTCTGGAGCCCACACTTTGAGTATCTGGGGGGGACTCTCGGGCTCACGCTTTGGGGTACTAACGGGGCACACGTTCTGGGAAGACCTCTCCCGTTTCAGGCTCCTGCTCGGAGGTGTGACTGTGGCGTTCTCTCTGGGCCCCTGCTCTGGGGGTCCCGGGGAGGGAGTCAGGGGAGTGTGCAATGCCTGTTCTGTGGGTGCAGCTCTCGGGGTCTTGCTCTGGGCCATCTGTGGGAATCTTGGGCTCACACTTGGGGCGTCATGAGCATCCTGGGCTCTTCCCTCTGAACATCTCTAGGGAGGATCTCTGAGCTTGTCTTCTAGGGGAGACTGGGACTCATCCGGGGCGGGCGGGGGGGACGGGGCCAGGTAACTTTGGGTTAAGTTAAGGCCTACAGAGGGGAGCCTTCTGGGTGGTCCTGGGGCACACTCTCAGGGATCTTTGGGTGTGTGCGTGTGTGTGTGTGTCAGGGCTTGTCTATGGAGATCTCGGGAGTCATGCCCTGAATCCTGGTGGCCTTAGGGGCCTCAAGCACTCTCTCCGAGGGGCTTTATGGGGCACAGGTTCGCAGAGCGCCTCTGGGCGCACACTCTCCGTGGTGTCCACGCACGTGGAAGTGTCTGAGGTGGCTGCTGACACCCTGGCGTCCGTCTGTCTGTCTGTGGGACTCACACTCTGGGGGGAGGGACTGGGTCACCTCGTGCTCACAAGACAGCTGGGGGGAGGTGTGGTGCTGTCAGCCGGCAGTGGGCAGGAGGCCACAGGCCCCCGAGGGTACAGTGCTGGAGCGCCCGGTGCCCGCAGGTGCGTGTTCCTGCCCGACAACGGCGCCTTCTTCGTGAACTACGTCATTGCCTCAGCCTTTATCGGCAACGCCATGGACCTGCTGCGCATCCCGGGCCTGCTCATGTACATGATCCGGCTCTGCCTGGCGCGCTCGGCCGCCGAGAGGCGCAACGTGAAGCGGGTACGGCCGCCCGGCGCAGCGGCCTGCACAGCGCCCCCTGGTGGGCCCGGCCAGAAACAGCGGCAGTGCTAGGGTGTGGGGCTTCTGGGTGCTGGGCTGCCCCCTTCCCATCTGCTTTCCCGTAGGTACAGTGATGGGTCGACATAGATAACACTGAGGGCCCTGGCCAGCTCTGCGGGTCTAGTGCTCTGTGGTGGGAGCTGGGGGAGATCCAGGCCCCCACACCTAGGGCCCGTGATCCTAACCCCACAGGAGGACTCGGAGCACCCCGCTCCCAAGTGCACCCCTGCCAGTCCCTGCTCCCTCGAAGGCCCCTGCCTGTGCCCTGTCACTCTTCACCCTGACCTCCTCCTCCTCCTCCTCGGCCACAGCTCCTCTCTTCATCTGCCTATGCCCTGCCCTTCCCTGGAGACGGGTTCCTTTTCCCCACTGCCTCTCCTGCTCCCTCCCCACCCACCTGCCCCATGCCCCTCCAGGCTGCCCCTCCCCGCTGAGCCACCTCCTGCCCATCTCCCCCCCAGCATCAGGCCTACGAGTTCCAGTTTGGCGCAGCCTACGCCTGGATGATGTGCGTCTTCACGGTGGTCATGACCTACAGTATCACCTGCCCCATCATCGTGCCCTTCGGTAGGCACCGCCGCGCCGGGACCTGGGCCCTGCTCGGGGGGACCCAGGACCTCACGCCCGCCACGCTAGGAAGGCAGGCCGCCCCGAGTGGACAGGGCCCTGGCTGGGAGACCGGCCCCTCCGGCCTCCCACCGGTCCCTGGCTCAGTCTGGGACCCGGCCTGCGGGGAAGGAGGGGAAAAGCCAGCTCCGCTCAGGCCGGACCCATCCGGTGTGCTGGACCCCTGGGCACAGTCACCCCAACATGACCATCCTCGCCCGCACCAAGGCTTCCACTCAGCCGGGTATACCGGGACACACGTCACACACCCACGGAGGTGTCCGCACACATCTCCACAGGAGCCGTGGGCACATGTCTACACGGCCCCATAGACTCAGGAAGGTCCTGCGGGCAGGGTGGGGCTGGATCGCATGACTTAGGCGAGTCCCTCTTCTTTCTGAAATTTAGCAAAGTTTCTCTTCAACTATTGCCCTCACTTTCCCCTGAAAACATCCTAACCCGTTAACCACCCTGCCTGGTCATGGAAGGCTCCAAACTCCCAAACTAACCTCCCTGTCCTCATCCACAAGCTCCCAGCCCCTCAGTCTCCGGGAAACAGAATGTGCCTCCTGATGCACAGGCGTCTGTAGGAACAGCAGCAGGAAAAGACAGTGTGGATCTTAGCAGGATGCGTGCTGACCCAAACGAACGGGTTTCTCATAGTGGAGGGGCCAGGGAGGGGCTGCAGAGCGAGCGGGGGAGCAGAGGAAGCTGAGCCTGGGCCTGCTGAGGGCTGGGGGCTGCGGGCGCGCGCCTGTGCCAGGCCGAGGCAGGCGAAGGGAGGCCGGCCCTTCGGGGACCTCAGAAGGACCAGGACGACCTGTGACGGACGCACGGAGGCCTGGCAGGCTGGTTCCGAGGTCAGGGACCATGTGGCTTCCCCCAGGACTCATGTACATGCTGCTGAAGCACCTGGTAGACAGGTACAACCTCTACTACGCCTACCTGCCGGCCAAGCTGGACAAGAAGATCCACTCGGGGGCCGTGAACCAGGTGGTGGCTGCGCCCATCCTCTGCCTCTTCTGGCTGCTCTTCTTCTCCACCATGCGCACCGGTGAGGGCCCGCCCTCCGGAGCCCAGGCCCCAGGAAGGCCCGTGGTGGGGGCGGGGCACGGACAGAGGCCAGGGAGAGGCCGCAGCACGTGGGAGTGAGGGGCTGCATTCAGAAGGTAGCAGAGTGGAGTGAGAGCCCCTGGGAGGAGAGGCAGCAGCCCATTCTTTGTCCCGTTCCCCCTCCATAACAGGGTTCCTAGCCCCCACGTCCATGTTCACATTCGTGGTCCTGGTCATCACCATTGTCATCTGTCTCTGCCACGTCTGCTTCGGACACTTCAAATACCTCAGTGCCCACAACTACAAGGTGTGGGGCGAGGGGGTGAGGGGGCGGCCGAGGGCAGAAGCTCCAGGGTGTGCAGGGGGAGGTGGTTGGGAGCTGAGGGCAGGGGCAAAGCGTGCCGGCAGGGTGTGGGGTCGCAATGGTGGCTGATACTCATCCCGGGCCCTCAAGATTGAGCACACAGAGACAGACACCGCGGACTCCAGAAGCAACGGCCGTCCCCCCACTGTGGCCGCTGTCCCCAAATCTGCGGTAAGTGCTCCACCCCATGGCCAAGGTGGGGGGGGCCTCGGAGATGGCTCCAGAGCTGACTGTCCCATGATCCTCCAGAAAGGGGAGAGGGGCAGGAGAGACCTGCCTCACGGGGGGGGGGGGGGGGGGGGGCCGCCTGCCCGCCTCCCCTGGGCACAGGGTACTGCTCACCTCCCCTGCAGGCCTGCGACTCCCGGTCCGTCACCCCTCCCTCCCCGTCCGCCCTCACACCTCACCCCTTTCCCCCCTCAGAAATACATCGCTCAGGTGCTGCAGGACTCAGAGGCGGACGGGGATGGGGATGGGGGTCCCGGGAGCTCGGGGGACGAGCCCCCGTCCACCTCGTCCCAGGATGAGGAGCTACTGATGCCACCCGATGGCCTCACGGACACAGACTTCCAGTCTTGCGAGGACAGCCTCATAGAGAATGAGATCCACCAGTAAGGGGAGGGGGGGCCCTGGAGGCCACGCCCTGCCCCACCCACCCGCCCACCCACCCACCCCTCATGGACACTAAAAAGAAAAACGCTAATAATTTATTAGGTCTAAAGCCCCTTCCTCCCCAGTCCCTGCTTTCATTAAGGTATTTAAATCCGGGGCGGGGGTGCCGCTCTCCCCCCACCACAGCGGGGGGAGAGAGAGCCTCTAACCTCAGTGAGGAGAGCCCCGAGCTGGCCCCGGGGCACAGGGGTGTGGACACAGCTCCCCAGATCGGCGCCCCCCCCCCCCCCCCCCGCCGCCCCAGGCTAGTAGTGTGGTCAGAAAAGGGTTAATGAGAGCCAAGCTGGGTACCTGGTGCAGTGGCTGGAGACGAGGGGGGCGGGGGTGCAGGCAGATCAGGGCGGCCCCCAGTTCTGTCCCCCCCAAACCCCCCTGGGATCTGGCGCTCCAGGGAAGCGGAGCCTCGGCCCCTGAGGGTTGCATGAGAGGGGAGGGGGTGCCGAGGGGGAGGAAGAGTCAGGCCTGAGCCAGGGGGTGGCCTGGGGTGGGGGACAGGCATGGCTGACACTGGAAAATGGGTTTTTGCACTGTTTTTCTTTTGTTTTTGTTGTTTTTTTTTGTTTTTTTTTCCTTTAAAATAAAAAACGGAAAGAAAAGCTCCGAGACAGGTGTCCTCTTTGCACTGCTGCCCTGGACACATGGCTGGGGTCCAGCCGCCACCCTCCGTGAGTCTTGAGGATCTGTGTGGAGTCCCCACGTGAGCCTGGGTAGACATCCTGTGCAGAGACTTCTGGGGGCCTCGGGGGAGGGGCCTGCTGTGCTAACATTGCCCCCCCCATCCCCTTGCCTCTGCCCCCTCTGCCTCCATCGCTTGCCCTGAGGAACTTGTGGGACCCCCACTCAGACTGAGGGGCAGGGACACGGGCCAACATTCTGAGTCCCCGAGACCGCACCAGTAGAGTAGAGATGCAGGGTAGAGAGGCCACAAGTGCCATGCTGGTCTGGGAAGGCTTCCTGGAGGAGGAAGGTCCCAAGAAAGCTGCTTGGAGGAAGGGGCTCAGCAGGCTGCGCTGGAGAGGGAGAGGCAAGAAAACGGCGCTGCAGTCAACCGAATTCTGTCGGCGTGATTTGTTGTCACTGTTACCCGGCATACCGAGTTGTTAGCATGTGCCTGGGATTGTGCTGAATGGCCATGGCGTGCTGTAAAGCATTCCCTCAGAGACCTGGCTCGAGTCGGGCGTGGGTTTGCTGCCGGATTACATAAGGTAATCTATGTCAAGGGTTGCCTTGGCCCAGCCCCTGGCACTTGATAAGCACCCAGTAAACATCAATTACGGTTAATGCCATGATCATGAATCGCACCTGCAAAGTGGCGCACAGAATTGTGTGGCTGTCCCCTTGCTGTGGGCGAAGACACAGACCCAGGGAGGGCTTGGGGTGGCCCGAGGTCAAACCGGCCTGGGGGGGGGGGGGGGAGGTGCGGGGATTTTGAAAGGTCCCGCTGACTCTCAGGAAACTGGCCCAGCCCATCCATCCCTGAACCCTCAAGAGTGTTCAAGGCCCTCACCTAAGAGCCCCCTCCCGCCCTCCATCAGATCTTACTCATCCTCTAAGCCCAGCTTAAGTGCACCTTCTCTAAGGAATTTCCCATAGCCCTAGCCGGCTTGGCTCAGTGGATAGAGCGTTGGCCTGTGAACTCAAGGGCCCCGGGTTCAATTCCAGGCAAGGGCATATGCCCAGGTTGCAGGCTCAATCCCCAGTAGGGGATGTGCAGGAGGCAGCTGGTCAATGGTTCTCTTCATTGATGTTTCTCTTTAAAAAAAAAAAAAAAAAAAAAAAAATTATTTCAGAGCAGGAGAGAGAGAGAAAAACATCAATGATGAGAGAGGACCATTGATTGGCTGCCTCTTGCATGCCCCCTACTGGGGATGGAGCCCGCAACACAGGCATATGCCCTGGACCAGAATCAAACATGTGACCCTTCAGTCTGCAGGCCGATGCTCTACCCATGGAGCCAAGCCAGCTAGGGCTCTTCATTGATATTTCTGTCTCCCTCTCCTTTCCTCTCTGAAATCAATAAAGATATATTTTTTAAAACACAAATTTCCTGTGACTGCTGTAGCCCACCCTTCAGAGGCCCACAGAGCCATGGGGTCACCCCATTTCCTGGCATCTTCTTGGCCCCCCCATACCTACCAGCAGAACCCACAAAAGGAGAAAGTGAGTCCAGGCACTCCCAGGGGAGCAGAGAGCTCTGAGAAGGAGGAGGAGAGGGAATAGTCTGCCAAGGCCTGCAGATGGTCTACGAGAGACAGTAGGCGGGGGCGGGGGTTAGACAGCAGAAAGCCCAATCACCCAGGAGCGGCAAGGGACAGGAAGCAAACAGTGCCTGGGGTGAGAGAAGCCACCACACAAGGAACTGCTTGGAGGGCCAATATGTCCTGCTCACTGGCTGTGGGTAAGCGTGGGCCAAGCACAGTGGAGATGAAGGCCGGGCTCGGCCTTCTGGTGCAGGTCAGATCTGCAGATCTGTGAAATGAGTCCCAACGTCCTGGGCTGCCGGAGCTTCCAGGCCAGGGGCGGGGGAGCACAGTGCCAGCCAGTGGGTAGGCTTAAAGAAGCAGCATGTTGGCGCGTGAAGGCCCCTCGGGGCTCCTGAAGGCTGTGTCCATACAGGAGGACAGACATATCACTGTCGCCCGCCTGCCAAGCCCCATTGTCTCTCCGCACAGCCTGGCCTGGACAGACCTCAGCCCGGGTTCTGGTCAGCCTAGACCCCTTGCTTCCTCACTGCTCAGCGTGCCTTCCCTTCTTGGGGGAGGGTCTCCCCGAACCCCGCCCTAAAGGCTCTACTGGAAGCACCTGAGCTGAAGGCCAAGTTCAAGGGTTTCCGACGTGAAACTCCAGGTAAGGCCCCGAGAGCCTGCAGGACGAAGGTGCCGGGAGAGCCCTGCCCCAGGTGGGAGGCTGTCATAGAGGAGAACTCTCAGATTCCGTAATTGGCTAGATGCGGCAGTGTGTTATAGAAAGACATGATCAAGGGTACAAGGGGAGAGCCAGACGAGGAAGGACCCGGGGGGGAGGCCCAGAAGGAACCCCAGAGCTTCTGTCCTTGTGGGGTTGGGACAGCATGTGGAGGTGTCTCCCACCCAGACGCTCTCTGAACCCGGTACCTCACAAAGTTTTCATCACAAAGGCAAGGTAGATTTCTCTCTTGTTTCTTTGATGTTTTGTGTCTCTTTCTCTTACAATGGAAGTATTGGTTCCTGGTGACAACAGCGTTGTAACGTATGCACTGTATCCCACTACGGCCGTCCCCTGTCCGTGGGGACATGGCTACGGCCCCAGTGGGTGCCCGGGACTGCAGACTGTCCTGAGCCCTATGTACTCTGTGTTTCCCGATGCATAAAAAGTCTAATTTATGAATTAGGCCCAGGAAGAGATTAACAACAATAACTGAAGGTAAAAAAAAAAATAAAAAAATAACTGAAGGACAATTATAACAAGATACTGTAATAAAACTTAACATAAATGTAGTACGTTTTACCTCTCTTTCTCTGATAACCACAACGGCTGCTAATCAGCAACGCTCAGTCTTTTTCAACGCATGGCACATAAACGAACTACTAAAATTCTGTGGCACACAAAAAAAAATACATTAAGTTTTTTGCCAACCTGACAATAAAAATAGGTGTGATTTTTATTCATTCACACAGGACAGCTATCGTGGTGCTGGCTGTTGCCATATTTTTTTTACAGTCTAAGGGAAAAGAGGCCAGTGCCCCTGACTGGGTAGTCAGATATTTCATGTTTTAAAACTCTGTGGCACAGCAGTTGGAAATGCCTGGTCTGCATCATAGACAAGGGGAGGAATCAGGTGCTGGGTGTGGCTCCCTTCTCTAGTGCCTCCACTTCTTCTTCTTCCTGTACGTTCCTACTGTTCATGGGATGCTTCGTCTTCCTTCCGTCTTGTGTCTAAACATGATGGATTGTTAACTGAATCCCCGGTCCCCTGTCCTCCCCGGAGGAGGAGGGTGGGCTGAAAGTTCATGGCTTAGACCTTCTGGTGACAGCCCCACCTGGAGGCCATCAAGAAGGCCCCAAGAGTCGCCTTGTTAAACAAAAGGTGCTCCTATCCCTCAGGAACCTCCAAGGGATGGGGGAGCTCTGTGTCAGGAACCTGGGCAGAGACCAAATACATGCGTCGCCTCTGGACCTCACTTTCTTAGTCGATAAAGTGGGAATCGTGAAACCATGTCCTTGAGCTGTTTTAGGATTCAAGAAGCAAAGAGTTCTTAGTCTGTGTTTTCCAATACATAATAAAGTCTGACTTATGAATTAGGCCTAGAAAGTTATTGCTATAACTAAAGGTAAAAATAGGACAATTATAACAAGATACTGTAATAAAACTTTGGCCAGTGTTTGCCACACAAGGAATTTAGTAAACTATCATTTATATTCTTTTTTTTTTTTTTACATATTTTATTGATTTTTTTTTTTGCCCCCCTCCCTCCCTCCCGTCATTTATATTCTTACAGATGAGGAAATGGAGACCTAGAAAGGGCAGCAGAGAGGACTTGCCCGTGGTCCACTTGCAACAAGGCTCTGGGTTCCGTTCAGTTGCCTGAGCGGCCGCCCTGTGCCCCATGCACCGCCCGGCAGGGCCAAGGAGCACCAGGCAACCTCGGCAGTGCCTGTCCTCAACGGCCCTGCATTCTGTGCTAGAAAATGTGCACCGGGCACCACTCCCCACCAGAGTCCCTCTTCCCAGGGAGAGACCTGACAGGCCAGCGGGCTAACCAGGCCGAGGAGAGGTCAAGGGTGGAGCTGTGTCCCTCAGGACCTCCGCAGGTGCCCGTGTTTGGAAATAGGGTGGTTGCAGAAGGGACGAGTTACCATTTGGTCATTGCCAGGGTAGGGAGCCCGCATCCTATACAGCTGGCGTCTGTGAGGAGACAGGACAGACAGGCGGGGAGAACGCTGGGTCTGCAGCAGAGCGGCTTTTGGGAATGAGGAGGTTTCAGGATAAAAGTTGGGCTGGGGTGCCCAGGACAAGCCCTGGGCTGAAGGAGACAGACT